TATGGATCGGGTGTCACGTTCCGACACTAGGATAGTATATGAGGATCGGAGTGTCACGTTCCGGCACCAGGATAGTATATGAGGATCGGAGTGTCACGTTCCGGCACCAGGATTAGTAAAGAGAATGAATCTCGAAAGATGTTAATATTATCAATTTAATGAACCTAATTTCCAAAATGAGTATGATGGGGAGGCGTGAGTCCTCATTGATGTGCTTGGTGTTGTGACCAAGGGTTATGGTAATTGTAAATGCCGCATGTTGAATATTGTAGTTGATTTTATGATATTATCTGATATATACTGTTTTCTGTTTCGAGTTGGCCGATGATATCTACTCAGTACTTGTGTTTGTACTGACCCCTACTTGTATGTTTCTTTCTTTGTTATTTGTGGAGTACAGCGAACGTGCCGTCGTCTTCAACTCAACCGCAACTCTAGCCAGTCTTCATTACACCGGATTTCAGGGTGAGCTAACGCTTCTAGCTTGGACTGGATCTTCTTCTTCATGTATTGATGTCTTGAAGTTCCGGCATGGACTAGCTTTTTATTTATTCTAGCTTTCTAGATACCTTTAGACTTAGTAATTTGAGGATAGATGTTCTTGTGATGATGACTTCCAGATTTTGGGGATAATGATAAGTTTGAGTTTAGAAGTTGATTATTGATTTCGTTAATGAGTTTTAAGTCTTCCGCATTATTTTTATGTTTATTATGTTTGAAATGTTGGGGTTTAGATTGATTGGTTCACTCACATAGTAGGATAAGTGTGGGTGCCACTCGCGGCCCGCTTTGGGTCGTGACAATAAGTAATGAGGCACTGTGTGTGGTTTGGATAACCGTTTATGTATGTGTCCATACAAGTATGAACTCTCAAACCTTCTTATATGGTTAACATGAATGAATATTTGTTTGTTATGTTATGATCCTTTAGTTTTATGTATTTCTAGATTATTTATTTTATTTTATTTTTTGATTTTTTTGTTTCTGTTGCCAGTAAGATTTATCCATAAAAAGTTTGTCTTTCCCACTGTTCGAACTTCAACCGAAAGCACCTACCTTCTAGTCGAGTCAGTTTAAATTGGAGTTCTCTTAGTCGTTTCGGAGTTAGTCTTTAAGATCGTTCGAAACCTGATATCTATTGGTATTATCTTTTCATGTGTGTAGTCGGAGACACTGACTCGATTGTGTAATTTATGGTCTCTGTTTCCGGAAAAGTAGAGAACCAGCTCTTCTCTTGCATTCCATATTAGGTATATATGTGTTTATATGCAACATGATAGTTTGAGGAAAAGTTTGTTTAGTTTTGATGATTTATCGTTAAACTTCACTTCCCTTTAGATGATTTGGCAAAGCCACTCCCCTCTCTTACTCTTTGACCTTTGTTTAAAGATTTAATTTAGCACTGTAAAATCTCAGTAATTGATAAAGTGTAGCATGTTTCCTTTACATGTTTTAAATATAAATGTTGAGCAACAGTGAGGTATTCGCCTGTGTATGATGGATTACTAGGAATATATGCATGCAAGTGTGTGCTACTGGCTTAGAGTCATACTTGTTATAAGATTTGCAAGCCTTATTCTTAGTTCACTTGGGTTTTGTCTTTGAAGCCATTTATTTCGATCTAGTTCGAGTCTCTAAAATAGTTGACAACTCTTATTTCCGTTTTGTTCGAGATAAATTTAATGATTTTATCGGTCCATGTTCTAATCCATCATTTTATTGCATGTGAAACTTCTCTCGAGTTCATTTTGGGACTCTCTCTTCATCCTTGCATCATTCGTTTGAGCCACAAAAGCTTGAACCATTATATACGAGTCGTAAACCCCCTCAAAAGCCGGTGTACAGGTCAAAAGACAACAAATATGTTGTTGGAAATTGATTTTTACAGGTTTTGAGAAGGCTGTAAACTAGTTTATATACACCATATACATTAATATACAGATCCAAAACAGGAATATGAGGACAAATTTTAAAAACAGGTCAAAAATCAGCATTAGCTCGCTGAAAGTTAATTTTTCAGGCCCCCAAAAGTTGAAGAACAGGTCGATATACCAGATGTATACACTGATATACAGTTTGAATATACAATATACAAGTCAAAACGTTTCTACTGCAGGGTAAAAACGCAAGAAATACAAAAGGAAAAATTGTATATAATAGAAAACTAATAACCTAAATTAAATGGAATAGCTAGGGTGTTATTTAATTGTGCTCCATAGCAAACATTAGCTAAAATTTGCCAGTGTCTCTCTCCCAAAAATCTCGTTCGCCACTCTCCATTCTCACTCGCCTCTCTCGCTTTATACACAGAAGTGTATAATTCTGTTTCTGTTTTGTATAAAGCGAGAGAAAATTGTATATACACATGCAAAAATGTATATCTTCGTGTTATACACTTAATTATACAATTTACAAACATTTTACTTCAAATATGGCAGAGAAAAAGGCCAACGAATTATACAATTGCGAATTATACAATTGCAGTGAAATACAGTTTTCTCTAGCTTTATACAACAGAAGTGTATATATTGTGTTTCTGTTTTTGTATAAAGCGAGAAAAACATATAGCTTCTTGCTATACACTTATAATTATGGAATATACATACATTTTAATTTGGTTCAACTGTATGCAAAACAAATTATACAATTGCAGCGAAATAGGCCAGGGAACTATACAATTTAGGCCAAGGAATTATACAATTGTATATGTATAGCAAATTATACAGTTTTATGTTTGCTATGGAGCGCAATTATGCAAAGTTTGCTATAGTATACAAATATGAATTTTTTGTTTGCTATATGTGAAAGTTGCCCAATATAAAATCCTCAAGAATCGCATGCTCGGGAGTCCAAAAATCATCCGTATACATGATGTATAAGTCGAATATACACATAATGTATATCATGGAAAATAAGGGAAAGAGGAGCCAAAACCCCAAGGATTTCGATAGGTCCAGCAACTTGGGCCCAAGTTCATTTTGTGGGCATTTCAGTATAAGACAGGTGGGCTGAAAGCCCAATTTCGTGGAATTTGGACAAATTGGCCCAAGTTCAAATACTACTCTCCTATTCCCTCAATATTTATGTACTGTTATTGACTAACATTTTGGTTCCAATTTAATTAATTGTCAACCGATAGTTATTCCTCTTTATTTTTACATATTTAATAATATACAGATACTTATACATATAGATTTTGCTTAATCTTTATTCTATTTATTAGTTCTGTCAAATGTTTAAATTATTCTCTTTAGAATAACTCTTTAGTTTAATTTCCTCTTTAAGATAATTAATTTTAGGAAAATATAATAAAAAATGAGTAAGTAAAAATTTGAATTTATTTAACTTAGTTAAAAAATTTAAAATTTATTTTAAGAGTCAAAGTCATTTTTAGTCAAATCGCCGGTCAACCGTGAGTTACGGACATTCTGAGGGCCTAACACCTTCTCAGAATGTACATTTGCACTTCGGACCATATTCAATTGATTTTTATCTGTTTTAAATCTTTTGAAAAATAATTTTCACTTTTTCTTGAGTAAATAATCAAGTGGCGACTCTGTTAATTTGGAAATTGATTTCTCTTAAATCATAAGATTAATTTATTTTTTGAAACTTAGTCATTTTTATTTTACTTATATATTTTCGTAAAACAATAATTATTATACTCGGTTCTAAAAATTCATGGATTGATATTCTATATTAAATTCTATAAATTAAAAGTACTATATATATATATATATATAATTGAAGAAATTCATTATGCAAGTTCAAAAGTTATAATTTGCTTTCATGTTCAAGCGTAACTTCTTTTTTGCATATGTTAATATTTAGAATTTTCTTCTAAGGCATATACTATAATTGTATAATCTGTACAACTTAAATGTTTCTTTTTATTAGGGCATGCATTTATATATACACACACACACACTTATCTTCTTCTTTATTTTCCTTTTAATGTTGATTAAAGACCCAATGATTTATTACTTAGTGATTAATTCATTCATTAGATGTACTTGAGTTATATTATAACGACAGATAATTAAAATTATATTGGAGTATTGCTAATATTTTTAAAGAACCTATTTACCATTATTTTTAATGTATGGATATTAGAAAAAGTTATTTGCAAGTTCAATTCAATTATTATTTATGACTGCGCGAAGCGCGCACAAATTACCTAGTTGATTAATAATTACTATCCCTCATTTAATAGATTATACATGTTAAATTTGTTAAGTTTCATTTCAATCATCATCTCAAAACGATCTTCATAATTAATAAAATACAATGGCAACATTACGTTTAAAGTAGAGAACTATATAGTTTATTGGATAAAAGTAATATTTTAGCATTTATTTTAAAAATCGCGCGAGGCGCGGCAAAATTCTCTAGTAGGTGATAAAAAATTTATTCATTGTTACATTATTTGACTTGACATAACATTTTAAATTAAAAAAGAATTTTTCAAACTTATAATCTAAAATAATATTTGACTACTTGTGTTACTATAAATAACAAATTTAAAAGGCAAAATATATGACTACACCCTTTAGGACTCATACGACTATACATCACAACATTCAACAAGACAATTTGTATAATATATGGTGTCCTAAATAGATTATGTTACATAAGGCTCATTCGTCTATTTGTTCAACTTTATACATTTATGTGTCTACTTGTGACACCCAAAATTGAAGAACATAAATGTTAAATAACACATTTATGTATAATGCCTTTTTGAGTTTTGTGATTTCATGTAGGATGTTGGAATTGATTTTTCATTCTGAAAAATTTACCACAAAAATAACTTTTTTAGGAAAAAACAAAAATAAAAGAAGACCTTGTAATGACACGCTAGATCGTTTTGAGAACTAGGACTAGTTTGACTCCTTTTGGAAATTTAAATGGGTACTTTTAAATAATTCGAAAACTAAGAGTATTTAGTTGATAAAAATTTTATTGAATAACTAATATAGTTAATAGTTAGTGGGTCATTTCATAATTCATTTATTACCTTTTATACTTGACCCATATAATTAAATTAAGTTAGTGGGCTTAACCACTTTTAATACTTAATTAATATTAGAAAAAAATAAAGGAGTAAGGGTAAGAAACTATCTGTGTGCGGCGTGAATGCAAACGTGAGGGGTCGAACGAAAATTTACGGGTAAGAAGCAATTTGAGATTTTTCTTGACTTTTACTTGGGTATTAATGAATGTATTATTGTTGTGTTAATTATTTTGCTATAAGGTTTTGAAAGATTGGTTGGCAGAAGTAGTGCCATTTTTTCTGAATTTGGGAGGGGACACTTTATCAAATAAATTGATAAATAAATAAAAATTTGTTAATAATTAAGGCAATTGCAATAGGTTGGTAGTAGTAAGTGTCAAATCTTTGGAAAGCATATGCTAGCAAAATTGAAAAGTAATAGTAGTAGAAAGGATTGTTGTCTTTTTCTTAGTTGCTGGAAATTTTTATTGTTTATATATTAGAATTGCAGTGGCTGTAGTTAATGGGGTTTTAGGCCAAAAAAAGAATGAAAAAAAATACAAGTTGGGAGGTCATATTGAGGCAGGTATATAGGAAGCCTGAGAATTTAGTATTTGCAAGTTAGTTCTTCGTATTGATTATTACCTTTGCTTATTTTCTTGTTATTATAACATTATCAATTTAGTTTTGTTATATTAAAATAGGTAATTAATTATTAGATGTATATTATATGATTAGCGTTGAAATTGAGCTACTTGGAGGAATTAAGGCTTAACATTAGGCTTGAACGTTAGCAATTTGGATCCTTGACATGTAATTATATCAAGAGTAGGATCTTGATTGAACATATGAGTGAGTTTTGAGGTTTATGTTGTACCTATAATAAATTTAAATGTCTACAAACTCGCTTATTTATGAAACTTGCATCATTGGTAGATCGTGAGCGTTTCGAAACTTTGCATAAAGGGAAGGAACTATCTTAAAGATTCATGACACGAATTTGGCACTTGAGGTATGTTAAGACTTTTTAGACTTATTGAAGGACGTTTTCCTAATTAAAGATTTAAAAACAAAATGAAAATAGACAAAGGGGTAAGGGCAAAAAAATGGGGTCTCGTATCAATGGTGTGACGGGCATTGGTACGAGTACCGATGTTATAAAAAGGAAAATTACTACTATAGAATGTGGATTGTAATTTGAGAATGCCAAAGCATATGGGCATTAGCTGATATATTATTGACTTGAAATTTTTGTATGATTGTGTTTTCTTTATTACACCCGTATAGTTGCGATAATTGAGGTGGTTATGTATTATGTTGATATTGATTGAGTGAGATGCATCATTATCCCCTTATATTGAAATGATATTGTATACATGCATTGACATGAGATTGAGTATAAGTTGGGCACGTGGAGATCATCCGTGCTGGGGATGGTGAGATGTTAAGATTGTAATTTGGGCACGTGGAAATCGTCCGTGCGGAAATTGTTTGATATTATGATAGTGCGTTGAGATTGTCCGCACAGACACGTGGAGATCGTCCGTGTCGGTATATGGACCTCGCAAGTCCCCCATGGGTCATGATCTCTCGATGTATTTCCAAGGAGTATCATGTAAATACGGTTGAGTGTGTACTGGATATTCTGAGACAATTCATTACATGGTGTTATATTGCATTGCATTTCATCACATCATTTATTTTGATGATTATGTGATTGTTTGGGTGTTTGGAAAATACTTGATGTTTGATTACCTTTATTGATGAAACTTAAATAGTGAGTGTAATATATATATATATATACACACACTTATATAATTTAAGAATTTATTTTGTTGTTTAAACTCCCGTCACTACTTCTTCATTGTCGGTCAATAAGACATACTGGGTACACGTGGTTTCGTACTCATACTACGCTTGTTGCAATCTTTGTGGTGCAGATTCAATTCCGAGTAGGAGCACATCTCGTGGAGCAAAGTGAGTCCGGCTTGAAGTTTTTGGAGTTGTGGTGAGCTGCTTGGCAGTTCCGTGGCCCACACCTCTCTCTATCTTTTACGTATTCTGTTATTCAGTGTTCAGACAGGATATCCCTTAAGTTAGATTTGTCATTTTAGTTTCATACTTGCATCGTATTCTAGAAGCTCTTGAACTTAAGACACAAATTCTTGGGGTGATATATTTTAGATTTTGCATTTCGTACTTATAAGGGACTCAATGTTGGAGATTCTTGCTAAGTGTTAGTGTTTTTACTCATTTGTTGATTTAGTTGGGTTAATATGTTGGGTTGGCTTACCTATTGGTTGGGAACATAGGTGCCATCACGACTTGCAAAATTTGGGTCGTGAAAAATTTGGTATCAAAGCCCTAGGTTCATCGGTCTCAAGAGTACAAGAGCAATGTCTAGTAGTGTCTTGCGGATCGGTATGAATACGTCCATACCTATCTTCGAGAGGCTATAGGACATTTAGGAAATAATCTTTTCTTTTATTCATTATCGTGCACACTTGACCTTGTAGAAATTCTAATCTTGATATTTCATTCTCTCTCAGATGACGAGGAATCGTACATCGGCAAGTGGTGGTCAGGATCCTATTCCTGCGCCTGCTTCTGGGAACACTGTCTGAGGTAGAGGTAGGAGACAAGCTCGAGGTCGGGGTAGGGGCCCTGTTGCAGCACATGTGGATGTTCAAGTACCAGTAGCTACCCAGGGTCGTGATAGGGCCGTACCTCCTGATGCAGAGGTTATTCATGGGGATGTGCAAGATCGTGTCGAGGGGGATGGGCCAGCTCAGGCTCCAACCAGTACTATTGTCCCCCCAGTGCTTCAAGATACCTTGGCTCGTATGTTAGGAATCTTAGAGGGGATGGCCCAGGCAGGAGCTTTGCCTGTCACTTCTGATGGCTCACAGACCCGTGTTGGAGGTCAAACTCCAGATCCGATAGTTGCTCCAGATTCTCAGACTCCCAGGACTCAGCCAGCTGCCGCTGTAGCTCCTCGTTTGGATAGTATGGAGTTTCTAGATATGACATCACATTTGGTGAACAGGCCTTCTATGACTATTGATGAGCAAAAGATGTTTAGGAGGTTCAGACTAATAAATCCTCCTACTTATACTGGTGACTTAGCTGAGGATGCATATGAATTCATAGTTAGTTGTCATGAGAGGTTGCATAATCTTGGATTAGTGGAGTCTCATGGAGTTGACTATACAGCGTTTCAGATGACTGGCTCTGCTAAGCAGTGGTGGAGGGATTATATTAGTAGTAGGCCAGCTGGATCCCATCCACTATCCTGGACTAAGTTTACTCAGGTATTTCTATCCAAATTTGTTCCACGCAGTAAGAGGGAGCGCAAGAGGGCCGAGTTTGAGGGTTTGCAGCAAAATGGTATGTCAGTTGCAGAGTATGAGGGTAAATTTCATGCCTTGTCTAGGCATGCTTCGATGATACTTCCCACAGAGGCTGAGAGAGTGAGAAGGTTTGTTAAGGGGCTGATTATTCCGATCCGTCTAGGAGTTTCTCAGGTTGCTGCTTCTGGTGTTCCATTCCAAAAAGTGGTAGATGCTTCTAAGGAGTTGGAGATGATTCGACGTGAGGGATTTGAGCAGCGAGAGGGCAAGAGGACTCGTTATTCAGGTGATTATGGTGGTGCTCCGCCTAGGAGTTGGGGTTACTTGGGCAGAGGTTATCACCCTCAGTCCAGCAGACCCATTCATGCTGCTATACCAGCGTCTGAGGCTGGTTACGCTGGGCATAACTCTTCGAGCTTGGTACATACTTTGCAGGGTTCATCTTCTAGACCTGTAGTTCGTGGAGGGCATTCTGGTCATTCAGGTTCCTCTCATCAGCCTGCGTCTCATAGGGTTGCTTTGAGTGTGGTGATATGGGACACTATGAGGGACTGCCCTAGGACCAGACGTGGTGGCTTACATCAGGTTTCTCAGGTTCCGACTTCCAGGGCTGCACAACCTTCAGCTAGGGGTGGTGCACAGAATGGTAGAGGTGGTTCTCATTCAGGTAGAGGTGGTTCTCCTTCTGGTCGAGGTGGTGGTCGTGGAGGTTCACAATCTGATGGAGGTCGTTCTGACTGTTATGCTTTTCCAGGTAGGCCAGAGGCTGAAGCCTCAGATGCTGTTATCACAGGTATTATTCCGGTTTGTCATCGACCAGCTACTGTATTATTTGATCCAGGCTCTACTTATTCTTATGTGTCCACATATTTTGCTCCTAGTCTGGATATATTGTGTGAGTCTCTTGATTTGCCGATACGTGTTTCTACTCCTGTCAGGGATTCTGTAGTTGTAGATCAAGTGTATCGTTTATGTACTGTTACTTTGATGGGGTGTGACACTCATGCAGATTTAAAGGTCTTAGAAATGATAGATTTTGATGTGATTCTTGGTATGGATTGGTTATCTTCTTACCACGCAATTTTAAATTGTCATGCCAAGACCATCACTTTAGCTATGCCTGGAATTCCTATAGTAGAATGGAGAGGTACTCTTAGTCATCCTTCTAAGGGTGTGATATCATTCCTTAAGGCTTGTTAGTTGGTACAGAGAGGATGTTTGGCGTACTTGGCCCACATTCGAGATACCAGTATTGAGACTCCTATGCTTGAGTCTATTCCAGTAGTGAGTGAATTTTCAGAAGTATTTCCAACCGATTTGCCAGGTCTTCCACCAGATCGAGATATTGAGTATTGTATTAATGTGGAGCCAGGCACTCGGCCTATTTCCATTCCTCCTTATCGTATGGCACCAGCTGAATTGAAAGAGTTGAAGGAGCAGCTACAGGATTTGTTGAGCAAAGGTTTTATTAGACCAAGTGTATCTCCTTGGGGTGCTCCAGTGTTATTTGTGAAGAAGAAAGATGGATCTATGCGTATGTGTATTGACTATCAGCAGTTGAACAAGGTAACCATCAGAAATAAGTATCTGATACCTCGTATTGATGATTTATTTGATCAGTTGCAGGGTGCTTCAGTTTTCTCCAAAATTGACTTGAGATCTGGCTATCATCAGCTGAAGGTTAGGGCAGAGGATATCCCTAAGACGGCTTTTCAAACACGTTATGGTCATTACGAGTTTTTGGTGATGTCTTTCGGACTGACTAATGCCCCAGCAGCTTTTATGGACTTGATGAATGGAGTGTTCAGACCGTATTTAGATTCCTTTGTTATTGTCTTCATAGATGATATATTGATATACTCACGTACTAAGGAGGAGCATGAGCATCATTTGAGGATTGTTCTTGGGATTCTAAAGGAGAAGAAGCTTTATGCAAAGTTTTCAAAGTGTGAGTTTTGGCTTAGTTCGGTAGCATTCTTGGGACATGTAGTGTCCAAGGAGGGTATCATGGTGGATCCTAAGAAGATTGAGGCGGTTAGAGCTTGGGTCAGACCTACTTCAGTTACTGAGATTCAGAGTTTTTTGGGCCTTGCAGGTTATTATCGATGATTTGTTGAGGGTTTCTCATCCATTGCATCTCCATTAACTAGATTGACACAAAAGGAGGTGACTTTTCAGTGGTCTGACGAATGTGAGGCTAGTTTCCAAAAGCTCAAGACTTTATTGACTACTGCTCCGATTTTGACCCTACCCGTGGAGGGAGAGGGTTTTGTCGTATATTGTGATGCTTCTCGGGTTGGTCTTGGTTGTGTGTTGATGCAGAAGGGAAGGGTGATAGCTTATGCTTCGAGGCAGTTAAAGGTTCATGAGAAGAACTACCCTATTCATGATTTAGAGTTGGCGGCTGTTGTGTTTGCATTAAAGATTTGGAGGCATTATCTTTATGGTGTGCATTGTGAGGTGTTCACGGATCATCGTAGTATCCAGTATATATTCAATCAGAGGGATCTAAATTTGAGGCAGAGGAGATGGTTGGAGTTGCTCAAGGACTACGATATGACTATTCTTTATCACCCAGGCAAAGCAAATGTTGTAGCAGATGCCTTGAGTCGGAAGGCGGTAAGTATGGGTAGTCTAGCCATGTTACAGGTTGGCGAGCGTCCTTTATCTAGGGATGTCCAATCCCTGGCCAATAGCTTTGTGAGACTTGATATTTCAGAATCTAGTAAGGTGTTGGCTTATATGGAGGCTAGGTCATCCTTGTTGGAGAAGATTCGGGCTCAACAGTTTGATGATGGTGATTTATGTAAGATTAGGGATAAGGTTTTAAAAGGAGAAGCCAAGGCTGCAATTCTTTATAGTGAGGGAGTTTTGAGGATTAAGGGTCGTATATGTGTTCCTCGTACAGGTGATTTGACTAGATTGATCATGGAGGAGGCTCATAGTTCGAGGTACTCTATTCATCCGGCGGCTACTAAGATGTATCGTGACTTGAAGCAACACTATTGGTGGTGTCGTATGAAGAGGGACATAGTAGATTTTGTATCTCGATGTTTGAATTGTCAGCAAGTGAAGTATGAACACCAAAAGCATGGAGGTATGACTTAGAGGATGCCCATACCTGAGTGGAAGTGGGAGCGCATTGCTATGGACTTTGTGGTAGGGTTGCCACGTACTTTGGGTAAGTTTGATGCTATATGGGTCATCGTGGATCGACTGACTAAGTCTGCACACTTTGTACCGGTTCAGACTACCTATAACTCAGAGAAGTTAGCCAAGATCTATATTCAAGAGATAGTTCATTTGCATGGGGTTCCTATATCTATTATTTCAGATCATGGCACCCAATTTACATCTCATTTCTGGCGGTCTATGCAGAAAGAGTTGGGCACGCGAGTGGATCTTAGTACAGCCTTTCACCCTCAGACTGATGGTCAATCTGAGCGGACTATTCAGGTTCTTGAGGATATGTTGCGGGCATGTGTGATTGACTTTGGTGGTCAATGGGACCAGTTCTTGCCTCTAGCGGAGTTTGCTTACAATAATAGTTATCACTCGAGCATTGAGATGGCACCATTTGAGGCTTTGTATGGTAGGAGATGTCGATCTCCAATTGGCTGGTTTGATGCATTTGAGGTTAGACCATGGGGTACAGATTTGTTGAGGGAGTCATTGGACAAGGTCAAGTTGATCCAAGATAAACTTCTCATGGCTCAGAGTAGGCAAAAGAGTTATGAAGATCGAAAGATTCGTGATTTAGAGTTTATGGTTGGAGAGAGGGTTTTATTAAAGGTTTCACCCATGAAGGGGGTGATGAGGTTTGGAAAGAAGGGAAAGT